AGAGGCGTCCCCCTCCTGACTGAGTGCAGCACGGGCGAGACCCGGCAGGGCTGTCTGTTGGGAACAGTTTTCTTCACATCACATTTGACTTTTAATGGATACTGGACAAAAGCGCTTAAAATGATGCGTTTTGAAAGTAGAATCTTTGAGGGGTGCCTGGGTGGCTCGGTCCCTTAGGCGTCCGACTTCATTCGGCTCAGGTCATGATCTCCTGGTTCATGGGTTCGAGCCCCACGTTGGGCTCTGTGCTGACAGCTCAGAGCCTGGAGCCTGCTTTGGAGTCTGTGTCTCCCTCACTCTCTGCCCCTCCCCCACTCATGCCCACTCGCTCTCAAAAATAAATAACTGCTAAAAAAAATTTTAAAAATTGAATCTTTTAACGTCTTAATAGGATTGAAAGGTCTTTATGGTGCCTACACAAAATCTCTTCTGGGATCACGCTCATATTCTGAGGGATGCCCCGCCTCGTTGGGTGAGCGTAGGAGGCGGCCACGTGGGGCAGGATGCCCCCAGACGCTCACCGCAGTTCCTCGCAGAGTGTCCGCTCGCTGGTCTAGCGGAAGAGAGCTGTGCCTTTCTCAGGCTCCACCAGCACCGTGGACGTGATTTGTTTTTCGAGTGGCCAGAGGGTGTGTGAGTCTGGAACCCAGAGTTCGTTCATTCACTGAGCACACTGGTTTGTGCCTGCTCTCTGCAGGCGCTGGGTAGGTGCTAAGAGAAAGGCATGGACCACCAAGGAGTTCTTCTGGTATGATGCTTTGACTTTAAGAGCCCCCTAAGAGGAAGCGCAGAGGGGAGGGCTTCGTCTCAGGCTGGACCTCACATGGGTTCTTTTTTCTTTTTTTAATGTTTATTTTTGAGAGACGGAGCACGAGCGGGGGAGGGGCAGAGAGAGAGGGAGACACAGAGTCCGAAGCGGGCTCCGGGCCCCGAGGTGTCAGCCCGGAGCCCGACGCGGGGCTCACACTCACGAACCGTAAGATCATGCACGACCTGAGCCGAAGTCGGATGGATGCTTAACCAGCTGAGCCACGCAGGCGCCCCTGGACCTCACATGTTTTAAACAAGCAACGTGATTTTCCTCTGATTGCTCTGGGATGGTTAAATATGAAGCCCCGTGGCTGGGCTTTATTTATGGTCCTGCGGGAGCAACATCGGCCAGCACAGAAGGGCTGTCCTTTCCTGCTTCGGCCAGGGTGCTTCGTTCACAGTGTCTGTCATCTGGCAAGGTTTTCCCAAGCGGGCCACTGCTGCCTGCGTTGTAAACATGCTCCCAGAGTAGCCTGTGCTCCGAAATTAACGTGTTCTCAGCAAAAGCCTCCTCGCAGCCTTGCAACTTGCTAGCTCTTTGTGTTTTGCAGCAAGCACATTTAGCTCTCTCTTGCTTTGTAATGCCAGCTTTATCACAGAACGTTCTCTGCTTGAACAATGTATTTGCTAATTAAAATCGGTTGCCTTGTCAGTGACTACAAGCCAGTGATTGATTTGATTGCTCTGGCATTGTAAGAAATTTATTATGAAAATATTAAAACATTTTTTAAAAGTAGAGAGCATATGGGGCGCCTGGGTGGCGCAGTCGGTTAAGCGTCCGACTTCAGCCAGGTCACGATCTCGCGGTCCATGAGTTTGAGCCCCGCGTCAGGCTCTGGGCTGATGGCTCAGAGCCTGGAGCCTGTTTCCGATTCTGTGTCTCCCCCTCTCTCTGCCCCTCCCCCGTTCATGCTCTGTCTCTCTCTGTCCCAAAAATAAATAAACGTTGAAAAAAAAAAATAAAAAAAAAAAAAGTAGAGAGCATGGGATAAAAAACACCATATACACGTCACCAGACTTAACCCTTGTTTTGCCACATTTCTTCATCTATTTAAAAAAAATTTTTTTAGAGAGCGTGAGCAGGGGAGGGGCAGAGAGAGGGAGACACAGAATCTGAAGCAGGCTCCAGGCTCCGAGCTGTTAGCACAGAGCCCAACGCGGGGCTTGAACCCACGGACCGCGAGATCGTGACCTGAGCTGAATTTGGACGCTTAACCGACTGAGCCAGCCAGGCGCCCCCTTCATCTATATTATTGTTGCTGAAGTACGTTGCAGACATCCAGACATTTTAGGATTTATCTCTAAAAAAATAATGACATTTTCCCTCCTAACCATGACATCACGGGCATTTCTAGTAAAATGAGTAATTCCTTGATGTCATTGAAATCCAGTCTCTGTTCCCATTTCTTCATCTGCCTCCCTGTAAGTCTTCCACGGATGGTCTCTTCAGGGCAGGATTCGATCATATGCTGCATGTTGACTGTTGCTGTTTTTTGCATTTTGCTGTTTTACGTCTTAAAGTTTTAAAGTCTAGACCAGTTCCTTCTCCCCAACTCACTGGATCTTCTTCTTCGTTTCCATCATATCGTACAAGTTCTTGGACCTTTCAGGTCTTGTGATAGAGGTGAAGTTTTTCATGGACTCCTTCTGTGGTACAGCTACGTTTTATTTTCTTGCATTTGTATTAGTTACTTTTAACTGGAGGTGTTTGTTTTTAATACTTCAGTATTAACGTTTATTTTTGAGAGAGCAGAGTGTGCGTGAGCCTGAGCAGGGGAGGGGCAGAGAGGAAGATGTAGAATCGGAAGCAGGCTCCAGGCTCTGAGCTGTCAACACGGAGCCCGATGCGGGGCTTGAACCCACAGACCGCGAGATCGTGACCTGAGCCAAAGTCATATATAGCCCGACGCAGGGCTTGAACCCACAGACTGCAAGATCATGACCTGAGCCAAAGTCATATATGCTTAACCAACTGAGCCACCCAAGTATCCCAATACTTCAGTATTAAACTGGCTTCAGCAGCTCAGAAAATGATTCTGATCTGACCTAGGCCGGGAGTTTACTGGGAGAGGCATTCCTTGTATCATTTCTTTTTAGTCTTGAATAAAATTATTCTTCTGGATTAATACAGATTTTATTGACTTGAAATGAGTGCAAAGTCCCGAAGGTGGGTCCTGGAGACCAGCTGTGTGTAAGGTTGAGAACCACCTCAGTAACTCCTGTTCACGTTCAGTTTGCAGAGAAATTCCAGGAGGTGAAAGAAGCCGCCAGACTAGCCAGAGACAAGTCCCAGGAGAAAACGGAGACTTCGAGCAATCATTCCCAAGTAAGTGATTTGTCCACAAAATAAATCTGAGTGTGATCAGTAATTGAGCCTCTTTGTTCCTTGTCACTTGTGACGAGAAGTAGGGACTTCCAGCATTAGGGGCGTTGTGAAGGCTTTTTCCACTCTTAGCCTGCTCGCACTGAGGTGTGAGGACGTGTTTCTCTGAGAGTCTTGAGTTTTCCAGATGTGCTGATGTATTTTTGACGGAAAGCACTAGATGAGGTTAGAATTAGCGCATGCCTCTGGCCCCTAAGAGGCATTCTTTGTCCTTGTGTTTAAATACCAGAGGCAAAGCACTGTGTTTCCCTTCAGTGCTGGGGGGCGAGTCTGCGTGAACGATGTGCAGTGACAATACCGGTGGGTACCTCGTGCCCACAAGAGAGAAAACTTGGCTGATGCCGGAGAACCCTTGTCTCTGCTTCTCTGTTTTAACAAAGTCAGATGGGAGATGGTATTCCAACGGCTCTGGTTTAGCAAAGGAGATACGGCTTTGCCAGAAATTGAGTTGTCTGTCTACTTAAAAGTGTGACGATTGGGGCGCCTGGGTGCCTCAGTCGGTTGAGCGTCTGACTTCGGCTCAGGTCATGCTCTTGCGGTTTGTGGGTTCGAGCCCCATGTTGTGCTCTGGGCTGACAGCTCAGGGCCTGGAGCCTGCTTTGGATTCTGTGTCTCCCTCTCTCTCTGCCCCTCCCCCCCCAATAAATAAAAACATTTTAAAAATGTCTAGTTTCTGAGGTCTAGTTTGGTGTATATAATGGTGGGTGGAAGCCTTGATCTCGTGGTAAGGTTGTGTGCACAGAGACAGGGAGAGGAGACGTCAGGGGCAGGATTCGGGGTTCGGAACAAGCACGATGCAACAGCCAACACAGCCGGGAGTCTGCCTGGCTGGGAGCAAGGTGCCCTGTGAGAGGAATTGGAGCTGCACTTGGTGATCCTGCAAAAGACCTGGAATTCTTGACTAGCAGTTTATTATTTGTTGTCTACTTATTGTTGGGTTGTTGTGGTAGACGTTGGAGGTGTTCCCTGACTGTTTCTCTGGAATTGATGTGAGGGTTGTACTCACATGGGGAGGAAGTCAGGGAGCCACAGACGGTCGGTGGATTGGCGAGGGCGCAGCTGCAGGGGTGAGGAGGAAGGGAGGGATGTTGAGGACAGCCTGTAGGAAGAGAACCAGGGGACTGGGCATCTTGAGCTGTCAAGACTGACATTCTAGACTTGACCGTCAGCCTCGAAGAAGTAATAGCTGAAGGCTTGGCCTTTCCAAGAAGCCGTGGGGAGAGGAGGGCAAAGCTAGAGCCTTGTTAAGTTTGCCCAGCTATGGGAAGGGGCCCAGCGAGGAAGACAGAGGAGAAACCTCCCCGTTACTGACCCGAGGCAGGCGCGTGCTAAGTGAGTCAGTGCTGCAGAGCGGAGGGCCCCGGGTTTGGCCACCACAGTGACTGACCCTCAGGACCGGGATTTCCCAGCGCCGGTCCCGGCTCATCGTATGAAAGATGCCCCGTGTGAATTTATGGAAATGAATGCGTATTAGACTTCAGGTGGGCAAGGACTTTCCTGACTCTTTCTGAATAACCTTTAATGTAATCCGAGTGATCCTGTTAATTTCATATACTGATAACCATAAGTAACCACTGAGCACCTATGAAATTGGACCCCTGAAATGAAATTGGACCCCCAAAATGGTCCACAATCTAGAGTTTCTAATATACAATCTTTTTCTGGACACCACATATTATAGCTATACCTTTAAACTTTAATATCAGAATTTCTTTATATAAGTGTTTTATTTTAATCTTTGTTCCCCCCCCCCCCACAAAAGGTATTTTAAACCTTAAATCATATATACCCATCAGATGCTATATTATGTGTATGTATTAATTACCTATCAGGGTTTTGTTTTTGTTTTTGTTTTTGTTTTGTCTCTAAGGTTTAGTTTTTATTTATCCTTCTTTTTTTTTTTTTCAATGTTTTTTTATTTATTTTTGGGACAGAGAGAGACAGAGCATGAACGGGGGAGGGGCAGAGAGAGAGGGAGACACAGAATCGGAAGCAGGCTCCAGGCTCCGAGCCATCAGCCCAGAGCCCGACGCGGGGCTCGAACTCCCGGACCGCGAGATCGTGACCTGGCTGAAGTCGGACGCCCAACCGACTGCGCCACCCAGGCGCCCCTTTTTCCTTTTTTAAAAAACATTAAAGTGTTAATCTTTTAGCGTAGATTTCTAGGAATTTTATTTTTTTAACGTGGGCGTTTTTGAACCTGTTCACAGCTTGGCAGAATTGTAAAACGAACCTCCGTGGGACGCATAGGTCAGCTTTAACGATTAAGAATTTATGACCTGTTGTTTCATCCATACCCCCACCCTGGACCCTCCTCTCCCCCTAAATTTTAAAGCAAATCCCAGAGATCATTTCATCTGTCAATATGTCAGCGCGTGGCTCTAGAAGACAAGGCCTCTGAGAGTCTTCCAGCACAAGAAAAGTATTAACATCTTGTTTTTCATATATGCAAATGTTCAGCAGCAGATATGTTCCCACATTTCTTGTGTGCATTTTAATTTTGTTTATGGCACTCTTTTTTTTTTTTTAAGAGAGAGAGCAGAAGTTTAAAGTCAGATGTACACATCATTCCCTTTCGGGTCCCTGCCTTGGCCTTTATGCTTATTGGAGGCTAAATAAGGTCTTATCCTAGACCAGATGAGATGTCACCCACGGTTGGTATGACTTGTTACACAAAGCAGCTCAGAATATTCATATTCATAATAATGCTGACAGCAGTGGAGGCCACAGCCACATCCGAGTCCTGCATGTTTAAGGAGTGTTGGTCTCTGTGGCCCCAGGGGGTTTTAAGTTCCAGCTTCTAATACTTTCTCCTCATTCCCTCTTTCTTGTTCTTTGTTGTGAATCCCTCCCCCTCTTTTCGTCTGTGGCTTCTGTGTTCAATAAGGGAGCCCCGGTGTCCAAGCTTGTTAGGTTTATGTATAAAGTTGAGTAAGTGATCCTGAGTCAGGGCCCCGGGTGGACTCTTTCCCTGTAAAGTGCACAGACTTTCTGAGCTTCGAGGAGAGTCCTCTGGGCCTTTTCCTTTGTTCTTTTTTTTTTTTTTTTAATGTTTATTTATTTCAAGAGAGAAAGAGTGCAAGTGGGGGAGGGGTAGACAGAAAGAGGGAGAGAGAGAGGGAGAGAATCTCAAGTAGGCTCTGCGCTGTCAGCACAGAGCCCGACACAGGGCTTGAACTCCCAAAGCCACAAGATCACGACCTGAGCCGAAATCAAGAGTCGGATGTTCAGCTCGACCCACTGAGCCGCTCAGGCGCCCCTTCCTTTGTTCTTTGATATCTTTCCACGTGCTAGTCTTTGCCGCATCCCGGTCCCATGACTTGCTTCTCCCCCGCTCACTAACATGCTTTCTCGTTATGCCCGATTTGCTGCTACTGTGAACAGTAATGTGTGAAGGGAATTCACTTTGGCCAGGAATCTGGGTGTGAAAGCCCGTCTTCTACTCAGGCATCCAGCGTCAACGGGACGGACGATGAAAAGGCCTCTCACGTGGGTCCTGCTGACACGCACCTGAAGTCTGAGAACGACAAGCTGAAGATTGCTTTGACGCAGAGGTAAGGGTGTTTGAAATCCAGACGCTATTTTCTCCCGGCTCAGTGCCTCCCTGCAGCCTTTCCTGCTGCGCAGGGTTTCCTGAGGAGACGGGGTCCTGCTCAGAGTGTCTGGTCTTGTCTCCGGGCCAAAGGAAGGCCAGCTGGCTCTGTGGCTATTCTCCGTCTGGCTGACCAGACTGGTGTCAGTTCATGTGTGTGAGTGTGCAAGTGTGTGTGTGTGTGTGTGTGTGTGTGTGTGTGTGTGTGTGTCTGCTTACGGTGAGAGCACAGAGAACGTGAAAGAGGTTTGTGTGAGTGTGGCAGAGATGTGTGCCTGTGCTTGTATGTGTTTTTTTTCGTGTTTTTTTTTTTATTTTTTTAATGTTTACTTAGTTTTAAGAGAAAGAGACAGGGCGTGAGTGGGGGAGACAGAGAGGGAGACACAGAATCCAAAGTAGGCTCCAGGCTCCGAGCTGTCAGCACAGAGCCCGACTCGGGGCTTGAACCCACAAAGCATGAGATAATGACCTGAGCAAAAGTCGGACGCTCAACCAACTGAGCCACCCAGGCTCCCCTCTTTAATTTTTTTTTTAATGTTTGTTTATTTTTGGGAGAGACAGAGCGAGTGGGGGAGGACAGAGGGAGAGGGAGACAGAGAATTTGAAGCAGGTTCCAGGCTCTGAGCTGTCAGCACAGAGCCCAGCGCGGGACTAGAACTCACAAACCTTGAGATCGTGACCTTAGCTGAAGTCTGACACTCAACCGACTGAGCCACCCAGATGCCCCCGTTTTGTTTTCTAGGGACCCAAGTTTATCATTTACTTGTATATAAGATTGCATCTTGAACACTCAAGAAAAACCTGTGAAAATCTAACAAACTATGAAAAACTATGAAAAATAATGTAACATCTCACAAAAATCAATAGCTTCTCTATATACAAACATCACATAGAAAATATGTATTTGAAGAAGAGATTTCCTTTAACAATAGGAGCTAGAACCATAAATTACACGAGCCAGAATCATAAAATACAAAAACTTCAGAAAATACAGTATCTCTGTAAAGAAAGCTTTAAAATGATTTTGAGGACTATAAATGAATAATTAAAAAATATATTTTCTGTTGGAAAGTAGTAGGAAGCCTTGATATTTTAAAAAGAATCAATTTTCAGGGTGCCTGGGTGGCTCAGTCGGTTGAGCATCCGACTTCAGCTCAGGTCATGATCTCACAGCTCGTGACTTCGAGCCTCGCGTCAGGCGCTGTGCCGACAGCTCAGAGCCTGGAGCCTGCTTCTGCTTCTGTGTCTCCCTCTTTCTCTGCCCCTAACTCACTTGCATTCTGTCTCTGTCTCTCTCAAAAATAATAGATAGATAGATAGATAGATAGATAGATAGATAGATAGATAGATAGAAAGAAAGAATGAATCAATTTCCCCTAAACTGATGTATAAATTATTTAACACAATCCCCATAATAATATCAACATGACTTTAATTTGTAATGACTACACAGGCTATGTGTATGTTTTTGTATCTTGAGATGGCCCTTTTCCGGAAGGCTGGGCTGATCTGACCCTGTGAGCATATTCAGAGCTGCTATCCTTGGGAATCATCCCGTTCCCCCAGCGGGGGGTTTGGCCAGCTTCCCCCAACCTTCCTGTGGCTGAGAAGGTGCTCTCCTCAGACTTGCCCCCATTAAAAAGCTGGGTCATATGAACTCCATTTTACAGATGAGGAAACTTAGTCCCAGGTGGTAAAAAGTGAGTCCTTGCCTGAGGTCACACGGCTAGTAAATTTTTCCATCATACCACCTGCTTTTCACTCTTTCGTGGTTTTAACACAGCACTGCCTGGATGAAAACGTTTCACCCCTAAAAATAAATGTTTTTAAATCCCCACTTAAAATTTTTTTTTTTCAATGTTTATTTATTTTTGGGACAGAGAGAGACAGAGCATGAACGGGGGAGGGGCAGAGAGAGAGGGAGACACAGAATCGGAAACAGGCTCCAGGCTCCGAGCCATCAGCCCAGAGCCTGACGCGGGGCTCGAACTCACGGACCGCGAGATCGTGACCTGGCTGAAGTCGGACGCTTAACCGACTGCGCCACCCAGGCGCCCCTAACTCCCCACTTAATGAACAAGTGAATTATAGGAAGAGAGCATGAAACCATTTCTCTAAATCAGCTTACATTCTCGATCATTACCTCTGAAATTAATCAGATTATATTTTACCTTTTTTTTTTTTTTTTTTTTTTTTTTTGCTATGGTGTTTGAAAGCTTATCTTTTCCAGTGAAGTTCCTAGATCCTTGAGACTAGGATGAAAGGTGACACAGATTATTGAGATACAGTCCTATTTACTTACTGAAAAAAAAAAAAAAAAATCTCCCCCCCCCCCCCGCCTCCCCCCGTCAAAAAGCATTTAGAGACAGAAGTCTGGTTGTTCAGCCAGGCAGGATTGATAAGAATCCCGGGCTTGCCCTGTGTGTCCTGTGCGGCTCAGCCCTCGGGGCACCCACGACACCCCACGCTGGGCTCCAAAACCAGGAGACAGAGGAACATGAAAGCCAACAGTACCTGAGGGGAACCTGATTCCAGTTTGCTTCTGGTTGTTTTTTTTTTTTTTTTTTTTAAATGTTTATTTTTGAGAGGGAGAGACAGAGCTCAAGTGGGGGAGCAGCAAAGAGAGAGGGAGACAGAATCCGGAGCAGGCTCCAGGCTCCAAGCTGTCAGCACAGAGCCCGATGTGGGGCCCGAACTCGTTGAACCACGACATCATGACCCGAGCCACAGTCAGATGCTCAACTAACTGAGCCACGCAGGCACCACCCTCCCGCCAAGTTTGTTTTTTGAAGCTCCTTCAGGGAGCACAGAGGATGAAGGGCAAACACGAGGTTGTCTTGGTCACATGGAGGTGTCCCGCAGACCTGTGGTCGTCCTCTGCCCCTGACGTCAGGTCAGTCTGGGCCCCCTCTCTCCCACGGTCACTGTGTCCTCTGCCCTCTGGTCTCTGGCTCTGGAGTCCTCTTGGGGCTTGGAGGGGACACAGGGGCCTACCCTGGCCCGGAGCCAGTGTCTGTCATACCTGGTGTCCTCAGGTGTCCGGGATTGCTGGAAAGGGCCTGGCTGTCATGACACTCCTTCAGGAAGGGACGGGACAGGACACGACGCAGGGCTCTGGGGCCAGGGCTCAGGAGGGAGCGAGGGGGTCTTCCCCGCACTGCCGGGGTGGCAGGTGGGGTGGAGCGGGGCGGAGGGCACACGGCCACCCGGTCACCTCCCGCGCCCCCGCAGCGCCGCCAACGTGAAGAAGTGGGAGGTGGAGCTGCAGACCCTGCGGGAGAGTAACGCGCGGCTGACGGCAGCGCTTCAGGAGTCGGCCGCCAGCGTGGAGCAGTGGAAGCGCCAGTTCTCCCTGTGCCGCGAGGAGAACGATCGGCTCCGGAACAAGGTGGGCGCCGGGACAGCGGCCGTGGTCGGGGGCTGCTTTGTTAAGTTCAGGACCTGGCGGGGGAGGGGTGGGGGGGATCGCACGGAGGCTGGTATTCCCTTGGCTGTCGCTCCTCCGTTGGCCCCCTGCCCGCCCAGCCTGGATGGACCCGCAGAGCCGCCCCCCTGTCTCCCCACCTTCCTTTGGTAAGGATGGCGCGGAGCCCTGCCTCGTGTTGTCTTTTTCATTTCGGCGCCGTAAGTGCTGCCGGCCAGGGCGCCAGGCCAAGTGCTGACTCCGCGTTCCCTCCCGAGGCCCGGCCGAGTGGCCTGCCAGAGGGATCGGTGGCCCTTTGCTGCTCTTTCCAAGCAGGGAGTTGGTTTCTGTTTGCGTCTGAGTCTCAGACCCAAACCCGGGAGGAGTCCGCTCCCCTCAACGAGAAGCATTGGGAACCTCCAGGGTGCAAGGTAGATGTCAGTGGGGTCCCCAGCAGCTCCTGTGGCTGGGGGTTCAGACCCCGAGAGCTGGTGTGCCGGCCACCTCTGAAAGTGCCCTCGTGGTGACCGCCCAGTGCCCTTTGCCTCGAGGCCTGCCGCTTGTTTGCGGGACCCCATCGGTGTGGGGTTCTGTGTTACCAGCGGGTTGCGTTCCTACTGCGCACGTGCGCTCTGGCTGCTGGGAAGCACTCAGCATCAGACACACAGCAGTGCCAAGCTGGTGAGGCCTTTGCGTCCCTTCTGAGGGGGTCAGGGCTGGGAAGGGGAGAAGAATGAACTCTGGGGACTCGCCAGTTCAGTCTGCACGTCTCCTGTCTCCAGGAGGAGGCTCGCGGGCCAGGCCCTTCCTGCCGTGCACCGGTAAGGAAAGGTCACCCTAATTTAAAATGTTGGAAATGTCCCTGTGTCCCATTTGGTGGCCATTGTCCCACAGGGCTGATTGGTTCTCTTCCCTGCTGGCTTAAACCTTTGAGATGAAACAGAATGATCCAGGACCTGATGAAACGATGTACCGATCATTATGGGGAGAAGTAGATAGATTCATGGGACATCCGGCCCCTATACTTGTGAGGAATCCTTTAAAGCAAACCTGAAGTTCCTATCCCGTGGCTGAGAGAGAGAACCGGAAGCCCGGCTCGTCCTGAAGCCAGGTTTGGTGACGGGACTGGGCTCTGCCGGGGGTGAAGGAGGGCAGCCGCCCGGAGTTGGTTCGTAGACGCGAGGAAAGATGCGAAAGGGGGTTCGTTTGTGGTTCCGTTTGGAAAGACAGCATAAACAGCCGTGGTGACCTTCTGTTTCACCACCGAAGTAACGTGGCATCCCTGCTTTGTTAAAGATTGACGAGCTGGAGGAGCAGTGCAGCGAGATAAACAGAGAGAAGGAGAGGAACACGCAGCTGAAGCAGAGGCTCGAGGAGCTGGAGTCCGAAGTGCGGGAGAAGGAGACGGTGAGTGGGCCGGCGGGGCCGTCCATGCCTGGGACACGGCAGGGGTCTGGGGAGCATGTGACTTGCCTGGCAGCTGCCTGGGCATCCGAGGGGGACCGCCCAGAGCTGCATCGAGGCACAAACGCTCAGAGCACGGGGCCGACCCTGCCCTGCGCAGCCCCCGCACCAGCTGTGTCGCCAGGCCAGGCTGGACGCTTACGAAACACTCAGAAACTGTGACAGGTGATCTGCGATCAGGCAGTTGTTTTCGCCCCGGGGCGGGGGTGGGGGGGTTGGCAGGACAGCTGAGGTACCAAACCTCCCAGCCTCAGTTTCCCCATCTGCAAGTTGGGGATCGTAAGAGCACCTGTCTTTTCTGTGGTGGTGTGCAGACTTCACTCGATAACAACACCTAACACCCCCGGCCGCGCGTTACGTGTTAACTTCATCCCCGTTGTCGTTACGCAGACGGTACAGACTCAGCATAGCTGCCTCCGTCGGCTGCACACGGGTCGTGGACGTTCACGAGGGCTTTTTTTTTTTTTTTTTAATCTGACTTGCTTTCACGATTTTTTTTCAAACCTCTGTCCCCCGTAGGAGTTGAATGACCTCCGCAAACAAAGTGAAATCATACCTCAGCTCATGTCAGAGTGCGAATACGTCTCTGAGAAGTTAGAGGTAAGGAAGGGCACATCTGCCTTGGCTCCGACTGGAAGGCGTTCGTGGGGGCTACCCCTTTCTCCAGGCTCCCCCTTTTCACACCTCCCGCGGTAAAGAACAGTGACTTTCTAGTCCTGAAAAGCCATTGGTAACCGCCTACCAGATGCCATCTGTGACCCCTCCCCAGGGTGCAGACTCAGCAGTGTTTGCCTTCTGGTTTTTCCACTTCTGCGAAGGTGTCTTGTGAATAATCATCGTGCAGTGACTGATTCCTGCCCACAGAAGTCTCTGCAGAGTCTTTGGGCGGTGAGGAGCCCGGCAGAAGGGAGGGCGGAGAGTGTAAGACCCCGGTGCTAGCCCACCTTGCCCGTGACCTTGGACTTAACCCTGGGTACCCATCCCCCCCCCCCACCCACCGCACTGGCCTCAGGTTCCCGATCCACAGAGAGGGGTTTCCACATCCCCTTTCACCTCCAAGGGTCCCCCCACTTCAGGAACGACCCCCATATTAGTCGGTGGTTCCTGTACACGTGAGCAGAACACTCCTGATCACATCCAGCTCTTACTGGATGTGAAGAGCACAGGCTTATACCTTGTTTAAGGACTCGCAGCCACCAGACCCTTAGGAGCTCGACTGCCCCCTTGGTCACACCACCTGATGCCGGTGCCCAGACCGCTGTGCCTGAGTCTGGCACGGCTCCAACCTTCCTCATGGACGCCAGAGGCTGGCCCGGGAGCCTCTCCGTAGAGCCAGGGAAACAAGTCACTGTCCCGTTGGACCTGCTTCTCTGTCTCAGAATGGAACTAGCATGTGGTCTCTACTGACCGTTCTGGGACTGGGGCGGAAAACCCCGCGTGCTAGGCCTGCGGGCTTCCTCTCCTGGGCACTCTGTGAGAAGGCCCTCTTGCCTCAGGCTCCCCCAGGCAGAACCCAAGCTCTGTGTCCTGTGTGGAGCCGCCCTTTATCAGCTCAGGTGTTGGTCACGCACTCTGCCAGGGAACCATCAGGAAAGGGGGTGCACCGGAGAGCCCCGAGTTCTGTGCTGACGTCAGCAGGCACAGGCGTGGGTGCTGGGGGACTTAGCTAGGGATGCGGGCCCCCCAGAGGGAGGGGGTCTCGGTGACCGGTCCCCCGGTGTGTCTTCCTTCAGGCGGCAGAGAGAGACAATCAGAACCTGGAGGGCAAGGTGCGGTCCCTCAAGACGGACATTGAGGAGAGTAAGTACCGCCAGCGCCACCTGAAGGTGGAGCTCAAGAGCTTCCTGGAGGTGCTGGACGCGAAGATCGACGGCCTGCACGACTTCCGCCGCGGCCTCTCCAAGCTGGGGGCCGACAGCTAGGGGCTGTGGGCCGAGGGCTGGGGCGTCCTCTCGTGTGCGTCGCTCTGTTAGTGCAGGTGTGGTTTGTTGCGCCTCCACACCCGTGGTGCCGTCCACTCTCCCCTCCGGAACACACGCCTCCTCTCGCCTCCCTGACCTCGCGAGGCTGCGGACATCTGGAAGGTTCTGACTCAGGAATCCCGCTCTAGGTCTCCCTTAAACGTTTACGTAGTCAGGGCAGGGATGTTTGTATCTTTCTTAAGGGCTGTTGCGACCATACCAACTGAGCAAAGGATTTTCTATTACAAACAGGAACACGCTTTCCACCTCCTTTTTTTGGAAGAACGTTCAGAGCGTTTGAACGTCCACCAGGCACCCGTGCGCGGGGCATGGGGGTAATGCCTTCCCTCTCGATAAGAATCAAGATGCTTTAAAGCAGCCGCTTAGTAGAGACTTGTCCGGAGAGAGCAAACAAGTCTGGGGTGGGCTCACAGGCACTGCCTGCACCCACTCTGCCCCCCTTCCACCCACCCCCAGTTCGTAGGGTTGCGACAGTGTTCCTTTCCTGGGTTTTAACTTCTGAGCAGATGACTGTGCTGTGGGGACAGCGTGCAGTGAGGGCGCCTAGCACAGTGCCTGGCACAAAGGTGCTTAATAAATATTTGTTTAACTAAACAGATAAACAGAACTTAGTGTTTTAATCGACACCCCCCCCCCCCTTCCCAGCCTCCTGCCAGCAGGGTCCATTGGATCCTGTTGAACAATCCTTCCTTTTGCTGATCTGGGCGAGTATCAGATAGGAATTTGACTCATTGTGTGTGGTCAAGCTTCTGGATGGGCTCGGGTGGCCCTGGGGCAGGGCAGGTGGCCACGGAAGCAGCAGGAGCTGGTCTGAGGCCCCCCAGTGGTCCATTCATGGTGCTTGCTCTGTCCCTGGGCCCTTTTGAACTGGGACCACCCTTCTTCTCCAGGCTTGGGATGTAGGCCAGGACCCTGTGTGGGGAAAGAGCTCGCCCAAGCCCACGAGGGAAAGTCTGCTCAGCCTGGCTGAGCCGTGACCTTAGCAACAGAGCAGCCCTGCCTGCCTCCCTTCCTGCTAAGGGAGGGACCAGAGACATTCGGCTCTTCTCTCTTACAGAGTTTCTCGGCGGGGCCAGGGACATCTGGGTGCCCTGCACGTGCCTTGGCTACAGGCATTTCGAAATGCCTTTCGGGATGTTGGAGGCCTTACTGCCTCCTTGCCTCCCTCTGCCTGCTTTGAGAACCACCAAGAGAGCATCCCCTTCTAGAAAAAGTTTCTAGAACTACCCCCTGGTGAATCTGGATAAACAACAAAACAGCCGAGGAGGCAGTGGGACACACACACACGCACGCACACGCCCACACGCGCGCACCCTATGGTGAGTCCTGCCACCGAGACTGTCTCTGAGCAGAGAGGTATTATTTGGGAGGAGGGAAGGCCGGTCGTCTGGAGCACCGAGGCACCTCGGGACAGTGGGGGATGGGGGCCTGCAGGCCGAGTGGGGCAGCTTTGCCTGAGCATGCCGGGCTCGTGGCGCACGGGCAGTGGCAAGTGTGGGCAGCCCTCTCGGTGACAGGAGGTAGGGTGCTGCCGTCCTGCCCTCCCCAGAGCTCCGGATGGCACAGGACAGTGGGTAGCAGCTCCCTACTGGTCAGGAGACCAGAAAGCCAGGCTGGCCGTGGTTTGGCCCAGCAGTGGCTGAAAGGGGGTTCTTCTGAGGCCAGGTCAGACCACCTGGCTGCAGACTGGACCTGGGGCTGCCTGGGAGCAGCCGGGATTCCGAGACCTCAGCCTGGAGCCTTCCGATGCCCAGCACTCCCGCGTGTTAGGTCACTTACTGGTCTGGAAGGGACCCTCTTGACTGACGGGAGTGTGCTCGGGTGACCTGTTCACAGGGAGGTAGAGTTGCCGAAGCCCTTGTGCATTGCATCTTGCTGTTGGTAGGAGACGTTGGCAGAAGTTGTACCACGACCGCTGTGTCCCTCCGTGGTCAGGGCCCACGATCCCTGCCCAGCCATCCCTGGGGAGTTGGGTGAGGACCCTGAAGGTGGGAGGTGAGGACCCGCGAGTGGCCTCATGCGTTGCAGCCCAGGAGCTATGAGCGGGACGGGCTCCTCAGAGGGTGCTGGGTTTAGCAGGGAAGATACAACAGCCGTACAGAAGCACTAGCCTTGCCCCTCCTTCTGCTTTTCTCGGAAGATCTCAGTGCTTCTTCACCGACATTATTTAAAAAAAAAAAAAAAAGTCCTGGGGACAACCTGGAGGGTCCATGAAGACACTGCCTGGTCACTCACCCCTGGCACTGTGCGTGTGGGCTCCGTATAATGAAAATGACCTGCTCAGTTCGTCCCAGTCTCTGCCTGAGCCGGTGTAACACGTCCTCACTTATGAGGGCGTCAGCTCCACTGATGTCCTGTGCTTGGCATCATGGAAAGCCAGCGTGGGCAGCTCAGCTCACCCGCCTCCCCCCCTCCCCCCCCCTGGCCCCATGAGCATGTGGCCCCGCTGTGCTGCTGGGACACGTATCGCCAGCCTGCCCTTCGTTTCCAGATCAGGCCTCCTGATTCGGGCACGTCCAGGGCTGGCTGCCCAAACCCGATTGGCTTTTGTCTGCGTCTGTTAAAGCTGGGGTCCAAAGCGGGGGACGCGCAGCACGGAGCCCTGTCGTGGTAATGGGCCTGAAAAATAATTTTCCTTCTGAGTAGAGACCCAGTTGGCAAGGGGAGGAGAGGTCTTCCTAGTGACAGGTTGGGGCAGTATGGTCATGCCGTGAAGGGAGAGCGAGCCAGCATCCACGTGAGACCTGGAATGTGTGTGGCGCGTCAGTCCCACGCCGTCCAGCACGCTGTCACATTAGACTTCAAGTGGGTGAGAGGGTCTCTCAGGGTCATTCCCCACTTTGCAGACAGTGACACGCCTGTCACCCAGCTAGCGATCAGCCCCAGGGGGCGCTGCATCCAACTCTGCCAGACCTCGGTCCCGCCTCTTTCCGGGAGTCTTGCCACTCTTCTCCCTTGGTGACCTTTTGGCGCTAAGAAAACAAATTCTCTTGTGTCCTGATGAGACCACACTGTGGTCATATTATTTTAACGTGAGTCCACAGCAAGCGATGATTTATAAATGAGCGAACTAGAATTACATTTGCGTTCATTATAGACAGTAAGGTCCATTTGGTAATGACTCTGGCTTTGCCGGGGTCATTGCGAGACACTCCTGGTTACAGTGATGTCCGTGCTCCGAGAGGCCGGATCTAGGAAACACGAACACGTCGAGTTCTTTGTTGATGGCTCTAGTGGAGACAGAGCAGAGCAGTGGGTGCACAGCAAGCGAGAAGCCCTGAGATGTTAGAGCGAGAGGTAGCGCTCTGGCTGGGAGGTCCCCCATGGGAAACGTGGACTCAGGGAGGACAGCGTATAAGTCGCGTGCTCCCAGAAGCATCACCATCTGCCCGTTTTAAAGGACTATTCTGTAGAAGTCAGGGGCAAAGCGGGACGAGAGCCAGCCGCGGGGCACGGCAGGGACCGTACCGGGGACCTCATGTGTGGCCAGGTGCACCCTTGGAAGGCAGACTTAGCGTAGGCCTTCGAAAGACGCTGCCCTGTGAGACGGAGCCAGCCCCGCTCTTTGCTGATCCCTGAAAGTGGGTTGTTGTGCCATCGGTCCTTCTAAAAGTTACGATTCTTTCTTTGAAATACCATTGGATTTTGAAGTGCTGACCATTTAAACTAGAAGCTTGTAAATCAATGTCCGTACATATTTTTAAATGATATGCATGGTTTAAGAGGAACCTAATTCTGGGTACGTGGTTTCCTCCAAAAGAAAACATTATCTATTCCGGGGGTGGTGGGGTGGCATCATGGAGAGGGAATCCTGTACAGAAATGTATGTTCTTTAAGTGTCTTTTCCATACACCTGCCTCAAGGATTGTTACTCTTTAAATGCCAGCCAGGCAAGAGGGGGACTTTGGTAATAATTTGGCAGCTGGATGGAACATCCTAGTGAACTTAGGAGTGTGTGTGTGTGTGTGTGTGTGTGTGTGTGTGTGTGTGTGTGTGTGTGTTGGGGAAAGAGATGGGAGAAACTACAAAGAACAAGGTTTTAAATGAAAAATACGTACACCTAAGAAAGAATAGCCTTTAATACTCCTGGTGGTGATACTCCATGTTCTGGAATCTATGAGAAGATGAGTTTCTGGGTCTTTCGTTTCGAGTGGGGTTGTACAGTGCCCTGCGCTCTCTGATGATGCAGAGCCTTGTGAAGAGGGGTCCCCCCCCCAGTCACACAGACCCCTGGTGCCCCTGGCCGGAGCCCAGAGAAACCACAGTGGAGGCCAGACTGGTACATTTTGGCAGGTGGTTGACAGGTCTGATGATACACAGCTGCCGGGCGTGTGTCACTGTTGTCAGGCCGTTGTCCCGCTTTCGGTATCAGGTCCTGACTTGAAATAGTCGTAGCGATGTCTCGTGATATAGCAGGCCACTAGGCATTTCTTACATCGAATGTAAGAATTTAATCATTAGTATGAAGTGGTCGAGTGGGCTCTCCCAGGAGTACTAGGGTTTGTTTGGATTTTTTTCCTTTTTTAAATGCATTTTTGGTACATGAATAATCTATACATTTTTTTTTTTAAAAAGGAAACTACAGATGAGTGAAAAGAAAAAAAGTCACCTATCAGACCATCTGATTATAACCACTGTTAACATTTTGATATATATCTTTTCAGACTTTTTTCTGTGCGTTTATGTTTTATTACTTTTTTCGTGAAATACAATTATGTTATACGTAGTGTCTTAGCACTTGCTTTTTTCCCTTGTGGCACCGTATTGTGACTCGATTTCTATATCACTAAAGATGTAATTCCATCATTTTTAATATCTATAGAGGTTGTCCCTTAGGTTACTTAGGTTTCTGATTTTTTACTGTCACAGTTGATGAAATCCTTCATTCTAACATCTTTGTAAACTTTTCAGAATATTTACTTAGGATGATTTTCTACAGTTGGCCTTGCCAGCTTAACAGCGTGGTGGGCAGTCCACCCAGTACTGCCCTGTGCCTCCTCCCGTCCTTCCTGGGCATGTGGGAGACTACTTTCCAGCCCCCTTAAAGTCACGCGGGGTTCTGTGACATTCTGGCCAGTGAATTGTGAGCAGAAGTGACGTGCGAGACCCCCAGGCTGAGACTGTGGGATGCTCTAGCCTCTGTCCCCTCGCCTCATCACGGGGTGATATCCCGGCGATGGGGCCTCTGTCCACTGGGTCCTTGAGTGACTGTGGAAGAGCCCCCGCTCCCCTCAAGACACCCACCCACCTGCATGGATGTGGGGTGTGGGTAGACAGTAAACCTTAGGTGTTGTGTGTGCCCCTGGGGTTTCAAGGTTAATTTGTTACTGCGGCATAACACGTCCTATGCTGACTAACAAAACACAGTACGCATATTTTTAGGACTTTTAATATGTATTGCCTCAAATTGCCTTCCAGAAAGACAATACCAAATTAGACTCTTACCAGCAACGTGTGAGAATGTCCTACTCCCCCTTCAACACTGGTGTTACCGTGGGGGCTGGTGGCTAGTTTTGATATGCATTTTTTCATTAGAGTGTGACCCTCCCTAGCACAAATATTCACTGGACAATATACTTCTGTACTTTACCTATTCATCCCCTCTGGCCACTTTTCTCATTAACATTCCCATGTTAACTATACTAGAATTTTAAAAAAGTAAAAATGAGTAAACTAGGCTAATCGATAAGGAATAAAAATAAAATGAAAAAAAAAAAAAGGTTAAATCTGTGACCCATCTGGAATTTTTTTACTTAAACTGGGAAATCTGTCCTTTCTCTACAGATACGAAATTCTATTTTTACTCTGTCCCCAGTCCTCACATATGGTTCAGTGTGCTTCTGAACTTTCATTGTTCACGTTCTGGCACTGGTACGACACTGTTTGATCATCCCGTATTTAGAGTAAATGCCTCCATTAATTAAACCTTTTCAAAAAAAAAGTCCCTTTTGTATATTACTATTTCTAAAAGAAACTTGCTATCGTTTGTAATGTTTTGAAGAATCAGAAACTGGATCATGTAAAAATTTATAGGTTACTCCTACAATTCTTCAGCGAGAATTAACATCTTTATAATATTTAAACTCTGACCTCAGTAAATTTATGAAATCGTATGCTCCTCAGTATATTTCTTCTAGTATAGGTAATTTCTGCGCTTGTGCTTGTAAATGAGCTCTCTTGTTCATTATATTTTCCAACTGCTTATTCATATAAAGCATTAAGAAAAATGAAAATTAGGTCCATTGATTTTCTGATCTAAAGTATTATAGGAGAGTTGTATAAAGTGTACCCGTTAGGAAAAAACATAGACTGAAAGTCCCCCATAATGAAAATCTCTCTGCCCCAAGATAGTCCGTATTTACAGCATGTGCCTCATTTTTTTTCTAAAAGTCTTTTTCTCTTTTTTCTCATTTTGACCACATGCTACAACTCTTGAACTACTTGAGTCTTTTTTATTTGGCTGTAGATCTCAGGCGTCTTCCTGTGTCAGTCCGTATCAATCTACCTCATTTGTAACTGTGCACAGAGAGCAGTGTGTGTGTATATTGGTTTATTTAATGTGGCAGTTGGTGGTTTATTTTTTAACTAGCCAATCACTGAGTTTTCTTTTGTTCTCATGTTTTTCTGGTTGTTAATTCTTTTGCCTTTCTCAGGTAGATAATAGTTGTGGGTGGTGATGATAATTTCACCTCCATATTTTTATCTTATTTCACTTCCTTATCATATTGACCAGCACTCTTGAAAGAACATTAAGTAACACATATTTAATTGTGCTGGCATTTTACATTCATATATATATATATAAAGATATATACACACACACACACATATACACATACATATACTTAGCAAGAATACTTCTAGTGTTTGTCTAAAAGTACAAATTTGAGGGGGCACGCGGGTGGCTCAGTAGGTTAAGCATCTGACTCTTGATTCCGGCTTAGGTCATGATCTCACTCTTCACGGGATGGGGCTCTGCACTGACAGTGTGGAGCCTGCTTGGGATTCTCTCTCTCTCCCCTCTCTGCCCCTCCCCTGCTCGTGCACACACACACTCTCTCTCTCTCAAAATAAACTTAAAACAATTTTTTTTAAATAAAAGTACAAATTTGACTCCGTGTAAGATATTCTTAATTTATATATTATAAAGTTATATCTTCTCTTTCTAGTTTGCTGAAAGGTTTATCAGTGATGGATGTTAGGATTTTATTAAATTTCTTTTCTGCACATCTGTCGAGATGATGAAATGGTTTTTATCATGACCTAAGATGAATCATTTTAATAGACTTACTGATGTTGAGCCCTCTGTGCATTTCTAGAAAAACCTGGGTTAGTCATGGTATATTACTCTTTTAATGTAGATCTCCACTCAGTGTTAACAGTGGTTATTTATGATGGGTTAGTTTATGGTAGATTTTTGCTCTGTGTTCTTATCTGTATTTTCTGATTTTTCTACAAGTCTTGTGTATTGCTTGTATAATAAAAATAAGAGCTTTAAGATAAGAAAAATATCCCAAACTTGGTTTGCTCATATCTTGGAATTTTTCATATGTTAAGATGGATAGTTGTATAATTGTTTTTCTCCTTTGTCAGGTACTGGTGTTGGGTTTATGTTAACTTCTTTTAAAAACAAACAAAATGGCGCCTGGCTGGCTCAGTGGGTAGGACATGTGACTTGATCTCGGGGTTGTGAGTTTGAGCCCCACACTGGGCATAGAGCTTACTTTAAAACAAACAAATAAGAACTTGGAGAGTTCTTGCTCTCTTTTTTTTATGCCCTGGACACAGTTTAAATAATATTTAGGATTTTTTGCTCCTTGAAGTTTTTATATAACCTGTGTAAAACTGTCCCAAGTCTAGTGCCTTTTTAGGAAATAATTCTTTGATATTTTTTCCAGTATTTTCCAGGCTCATTGGTCTCTTCAAACTTTCTTCCTATTCTGTGAGTTTTGGGCCATTTAACTCCTAAATAAAGATTGTTAAGATTTTCCTATTTGCCAGTGTGGAGTCGTTGTATTCTTCTTTCTCATTCATGACGTTGGGTGTCTGTTCTTTCCCTTTATTTGTATGCATGTTCCCAGGATGATTCTATTTCATCAGTCTTTTCAAAGAACTTAAATCCGAATTTACTCCACCATTTTATGATTTTTTTGTTACTTCCTTTATTTTTTCACCTTCTCAAATTGAATGCCATTTTAATTTTTTCTTGTTTAAATAATGGACACAGGTACTAGCAGTTGTAAGGCTGTGACTTCTCTTCTGAATATTTCCTTATCCATATCCCTCAAATTTTTAGGCAGGGTGTTCTAAGGTATAAATAATTTGTAATTTCAGATTTGACTTTATTTTTTACCAGAGAGTTATTTGAAATTATGTTTTTTAATTTCCAGATAATTTTATATTTGCTGTTGTTGTTTTTAGCATTGGTTACAAATTTCAAGTTTAACGGCTTTGCTGTCAAAGAGGGGATGGCCTGTACAATTTCTGCATTTTGGAGTTTTATTGATATCTTCTTGGGACCCAGCAAATTGTCAATTTTAATATTCCTAGGAAAATGGAAAAGAAGGTATGTTCTCTGAAGGGAACAAAATTCAGTCTGTATGTGTTAATTTGACCTTATTACTTATAATATCATGGACCATTAATTTTTACTTGATTCATTAAAGACTAAGGAAAATGAGTCTCCCACTCCTGTTGAATTTCTATTTTTCTTCTGTTTCTAATGGTTTTTGCTTTATGTATTTCAGTATGATGTTATTCGGCAAATTATCTTTTTTATATTTAAGGGGGAAATTTTTCCCTTTGAAGACTTCTATACCTTTGTGAGTTTTACCTGATTTTGTTGTAATGGAGTTGTTTACGTAGAAATACATAGTTCAGTAAAATGTTTGTGTCTGTTTTTCAGTCAACAAAAATCTTTCAGGATTTCAAAAATCCTTTGTGTCTTAAGAAGGTATTTTGGAAGCTCTTGATCTCCCCAAGGATAGGTTTATGTTCTCCGGGGTCACTTTCTGAGCCAAAAGCAAGGATGGTCTTGTGCTTTTGGTGGAACAGAATGAGAGCTTTTGAGTACGCCAACGTTTCCGATTCTCAGTTTGGGGCAAACGCATACTTGGATATGCTTAGCAGACTCCTTCTCTTCAGGGGGTCACATTTTGCCTCCATGGGGCCCATAGCACAGCTGTTCTCAACCCAAGAGGCACGTTTCTTCTGCGGGGCTAGGCTTCGGAGCAGAGGGCAGCAGAGAATAGAGACGCTTGTGTTCCTGGCCGTTTGGGGGGCGGGGGGCGGGGCGCGCTAATCTCAGAGACTCATTCTGTCAGAAAAGATTTTTCCAGAGCAGTTTGAACAGATTACTCACATGGCAAAGTCTGTGTCAAGCAGAGAACTAGCTTTTCCCAAACAAACGTAGGAGGTGTGGATCTCAACCCACAGCTCAGGAGCGAAATTAGTAAGACCTCTCTTTTCCCTTCATTCAAGTTAATGAATTTCTGTTTTGAGTCCCCATTCTGTCGAGCCCATGCAATTTGATCTGGGTCAATTCCGGGACCCCCTTTTCTCCAGTTTGAGTCTTCAGAGGTTTTGGGGGGGGGCTTGTGTATCTTTCAAGGTATTGGGGGGGGAGCTAGTGTTCCTGCCCCTGCCCTACTCTGCCACGCACCCCGCTCCCTCTGTGACATGCTTGCGTGCTCGGGAGTTCAAGAATTACGCAGACGTTCCTGTGCGGCCGAAGTCTCCCCGAGGCTGTCCTGGGCCCTGTCTGCAGCCATCCTGTTTGACAGCCAGGGTTTCGGGTAGAGGGTGGCTGAACGTGAAGGGTCCGCAGGACAGGCCAGACGTGTTGGCACGGAGTGCGCTGCCGAGCGGAAGCGGCTCTGTGGCTCCTGGCGCCTGCTTGTTGGCTTGACGGCCTGTCTGCAGGCACCGGCAGTTAGCTTGTGGGTTAGCCCGTGACCCTGACCGTGACCAGAGCCACCTCCCGGAGGGGCCTCCTGCTGCCGCATCAGGTCCTGTGTGTTCTCTCTCCGGGGCGTTTGGCCAGGTTGGCCTTGCTCTTGACTTACTCCTCCATGACTCTGAGGTTTTCCCTCCCGATCCTGTCTTAACTTCTCACTGTTCTACCTCCTTCCTCTCCTCCTCCCGCTCTGGAGTGTTGGGGTCTCCACGGATCTGGCCCAGACCAGCTTCCCTCGAGACTGTCCCCCAGCGTTTCAGGGCGTCCATGGTTGATTCCGTCAGCCGCTGCTGTGCACCTGGCCTGTGTCCCCGTGGCCCCTGCACAGATCAGCTGCCGTCCTCCAGCACCGCCATCCTCTCCTCCGTCCCGGCCCCTCTCATGATCTTGGGTTCCTCCCTCGGGCCAACCAGCGTCTTCACCCCTGCCCTGCTGCTGGTCTCCTTTGGCCCAGAGCTCCGTCATGCTCTGGTTTCTCATGTGGGCTGGTGTCCAGAGGCCTCTTCCCAAAGCTGGAGGCATCGGTTCTTGCCCCACCTCCCCACATCTGCAGGGCCTCCCCGGGCACCTGGCCCGCCTAACTATGCTGTTCCTGTTCTTCCTCTGCTGCCTGGAACCTTCCCTGTGCCCACCCCGCTCTTCCCGCAGCCAGCCCGCGAACTCAAAGGTGGGACTCACAGACCTCCCACAGGTGTTCCCCCCTGGTGGAGGGAAGACCATGTGTTGCGGTGCTAATGGAACCCAGCCGATGGGGGGTCTGTGTCGCCAAGAGCAGGGGCAAGAGCACAGCCAGCTTGTCTAGAAGTGGAGGGCCCAGGCCACTCTGAAGACCCTCAGACCCCTGAGACGTCAGGCTCGAGGGCTCCCCGCTTGGAAGGAACCCGCAATGACTACACCTGCTGCACGCCTCCCTCCCCACAGCCTGTGCGCGCTGGCCGTCTGGTTTGCAGACCGCACGCTTCTGGGCTACCTGGGCTGTCCAGGCCATCCCAGAAGAACCTCCTGGATGAGCACCTTTGCAGTCTGGGCCTGGCAGCGTGCATTCCAGCAAGCTCCTTGTGCTGGACAAGACGCTGGCTCCCCAAAGACGGCCTCAGCCCAGTCCCTGCCACCTGTCACTGTGTGGCAGAAGGGACCTTGCAGATGAACCTCGGATGGGGAGATTCTCCTGGACTATCTGGGTGGGCCCAGTCCCATCCCACGAGGTCCTAAAAACAGAGACCTTTCCTGGCTGGGGTCAGAAGGAGACGTGATGGCCAAAGACTCAGATGAGGTCCTGCCGGCTTCGAAGAGGAACGAAGGGGCCGCAGCCCGTGAACGCGGGTGACGCAGGCCAGGAAACAGCCTCCCCTCTAGAGCCTTCGGAAAGGAACACGGCCCCGCCGACACCCTGGTGTTAGCCTGGCGAGGCCCCCATCGGACTTGGGACCTACAGAACGGTAAGATGCCCTGTCTGTGAGTCTCCAGGTTTGTGGGGGTTACGGCAGCAGTTGGTACACCCCTCCCGTGAGTTTCCTTAGAATTGAGAACCTTTGCTCTATGCATTCAGTCAACTGCATGGTTTCACTTGGTGGGTGCTCCTTAACCAAAAACCTCTTGATTCTGGCGCCTGCTGCCACCTGCTTGAGTCCCTGCTCAAATTCCAGAGAGGAAGCGAATGAACACGTGAACAGGTAAGTCTGGCCCAGCTCCTGTTTCGCTGCAGGACAAGCCATAGGATGCTTGTCACCAGGACGGACTGGCTACCTTGGGACCAGCTTTGGCCAGAGGGCCCGTCCCGGGTAGAAAATGTGGCCTCGGTGGGCTGCCCATGTAGTGGGGGCTCTGGATGTAGAGGCAGCATGACCGGTGTCTGGGACCTGTCATCTGGGAGGGAGGGGGCAGGGAGGACTCAGGAAGATTCCTGGGGCTGACTCTGCAGGATGGTGCGGCCCTGCCGGCAGGTGGAGGCACAGAGTTGAGGCAGCCGAGCACTTAGGCTTTGGTTGGCCTCTTGGTGCTGGAGTGCAACCCGCCGTGGCGGAGGGGCTGCCCGGGGGATGGAGGTGAGGTCCCTGAGGACTGGGTGCCCAGCGCCAGAGGGGCCGGGGAGCTGGGAGGGACTCCACTTGGGGAGGGGGGAGAGTGACGGTGGGCACTCAGGAGAATGGGTTGGAGTTTGGGACTTAGGCCCTGGGAGCTAACGCTTGTCCTCCTCTACGGTTCTGAAATCCCTGAGGCCAGTCTGGGCTTCATTCAGCAGCTCGGCTGGAAGGACGGGGCGAAGGGAGGGCGGGGGGGGGGGGGAGTTCGGGAGAAGGAGAAGGTTTGATGCACAGAAGACAGTTGAGTGAGGAGCTTTAATTGGCAGAACTCTCTTCTGAAAAGGATCCTGTTTCGAAGGCTCTTTGGCAGACCTTAGAAAGCAAATGCTGAGAACTATCCAAGCCCGAGTGCGTCTCAGAATACTGAGATTACAGTAATTACCACAGTACTGATCTGCAAAGGAAGCATAGGGAAGGCCAGTCAAGCTCTGACCTTGCCATTTTTTTAAATATCAAATTCTTGGGGCGCCTGGGTGGCTCAGTCGGTTGAGCGTCCGACTTGGGCTCAGGTCACGATCTTACGGTTTGTGAGTTCGAGCCCCGCGCCGGGCTCTGTGCTGACGGCTCAGAGCCTGGGGCCGGCTTCAGATTCTGTGTCTCCCTCTCTCTCTGCCCCTTCCCCACATGTGCTCTGTCTCTCTCTGTCTCTCCGAAATAAATAAATGTAAAAGAATAATAATTAAAAAAATAAATAAATGTCAAATTCTTCCCCGAGAAACGTTCTGGGACTGAGCCCGGCCTGTCTGTGGTGGGGACGGGGCTGAGGCAGATCCGGCTGCAGAGGCTGCACATGCGTGTGTTCACAGTTCTAGATTCGGGGAAGGAAGGACGGGTGACAGACCTGTGAGCCACCTGGCGGCCACGCTGAAATGTCGCCAGCCACTCGTGGAGGTCCAGGCTGCAGCAGTGGAAGAAGGTCCCGGATCCCTCCCGGCTGCAGCCCCTCGGGCCGGACTCACTCGGGGTGTAGTTAGTGAAGAAGAAACCGCAAGTACAACAGGTTTTGGTAAATCACTTTTCTCTGGAAATAAAAGAAGGTCGATTCATATTGTTCTGTGGAAACCCTGGACTGCTGTGGCCATGGCGAGGGTTTGAGGTTAGTGCGGATGCCCTGGATGGTCTGAGAAATGAGCAGACAGACCGCCTTGTGTTTGCCCTTCCCCTTCCCGATTGTAACACGACGTGAGGCGGAGGAAAGATTCCAACATGAGACTTTAGTTCCTGAGGCGAAGCATTATTCCCTCATCCTTAGTATTTGCTTAAGCAAATGTTTATCTAAAATCTTGTTAAAAACTTGACCCCCTCCTGCCCCCTGCCAGGCAGGGACAGCTGTGTTCAGATAGTGTCTCATTTCCTCATGAATCACACTGATGCGTTATAAATAGTTCTTTATTACAAGTTTATATATGTGCTTGATACATAAAATATATTTCATTTAAAATATTTAAAAGAATTCCTGAAATTAAGCGGTTTATTCTGATTCTTGCTAAAACCATCTTCACATTCGAGCCTTTATCTCGTTTTGTTTATTTATGAGAGAGTGTGCAAGTACGTGAGCCGGGGAGGGGCAGAGAGAGGGGGAGGATCCCAAGCAGGCTCCATGCTGTCAGCACAGAGCCTGGCACGGGGCTTGATCCTGTGACCTTGAGATCGTGACCTGAGCCGAAACCAAGAGTCGGACGCTCAGCCGACTGAGCCACCCAGGCACCCCCACGTTCAAGCCTTTAAATGTGGGGAGGCCACGGCTCCACACAGGAGGACATGGTCAGTAGCACAACAGCGCCGCTAAACGTAGTAGCATCACCTTTTTTTGGAAGAAGGGAATGATTCTAGATCACCCTCGGTGAAAAACAAATACTCTTCTCTTACGCCGCTAATACTGTGGGTTCTTAGATCCCAACAGTTTGGTGTGTGCATGTCCCCACGTCTCTACGTCCCGCCCTGATTTTAGGAGCCACAACATTCAAGAAAGGCCGCAACATCACACGAAGCCCCACTGGTCTCTGGGGCTGTTATGTGGCCGGGCCACCTGTTCACATGCCTTTACAAGAACAGACCTTGGGCCTGCGTCTCATTCAAGCGCTCGGGTGGTGCCGTTGGCCGTGGAGGAGAGCTCAGCGGTCCCACTCGCTGCCGGGGCTCGGCTCGTCACCGTCCTCCTCCTCCGAGTCAGCAGACACTCTCTTGATTCTCTGGAGTGCCGCCTTGATACTTGTCTCCAGGTCACTGGTTGGTTTGCTGCTGGGGCTCAGGTCGAGGCCGGAGTGAACTTTCCTCAGTTTGACCCCCTGCCTTATGGCAGCCAGAAGTTGCTCATTGAACGAGGTGCGGGGAGGGGGCGAGGCGGTCACCTCCGTTCTCTGCAGAGGGGTCCTGCGGCTCCTTAAGGAGGCCAGCACTTCGTCCATAGATCCTGAAATTGAGCGGACAGAGCAAGGACCATCAGAACCCACACTCTCTCTCCCCAAGGCGCCAGGGCGTTTTTGTACCAGTTATGGGTTACGTCGCACATAGGTTAATAACGCGGTTTCAGCAAATAATCATTCCGTGAAACAAATGCTTTGAGCACCTGCGAGAAAGGTCAACCGCTACCTCCCTGTTTGAACACAGGGTGGCTTAATCGCTAATATTTCACTTCGGCCACTCGCTGCCCGCCACTCCCTCAGAGTCACAGCAACTCAGGCACAGTCACACACACCTTTCGTCCCAGTGGCTGTTTTACAAGATGCAGGTGTTGTCTTTTTGTGTGATCCTGAAGAGGGGTGAAAACCTAGGGTGCAGATAACCTGATCCAGTAAGCACGAGAGCTGCACAGTTTCAGTAAGTTGTATCTTCTCCGTGTTCCTTCCCTACAGTGGACCTGCTGTATTTCTCTAATTTCACCACTCTTTTTAAAAAATTTTTTAAGGAGTATTCATTTTTTCAGAGACAGAGACAGAGCACGAGCAGGGGAGGGGCAGAGAGAGACACACACACAGAATCCCAAGCAGGCTCCAGGCTCCTGGCTGTCGGCACGGAGCCCGACGCGGGGCTTGAACTCCTGGACCACGAGATCACAACCTGAGCTGAAGTTGGACGCTCAACTGACTGAGCCCCCCAGGCGCCCCCTGACTTCACCACTCTTGGATGTTAGTCAGCGGTGACTCATTCTGTGGCGGTGACAGGGGGAGGTCTGCGCACAGGAAAAGGCTGGAAGTAGACTTTAGTCAGTGGCTCTGTGAGCCTGATGGGGGCCATGCTGGTGCATCTCTGCTGGTACCTGATAACTGCACCCGAGCGAACGTATGCCTTCTACCTGAGGGTGCACAATGCTGTCAAAACACAAATTCAATCAGAGTTTCAAGGCCTGGGTGAGGAGGAGCTATTTTCTCCTCAGGCACCTTGAGACCCCCGAGGGGGTAAAATCTTTGACCTCTACCTGCTGGAGATGGGGGCGCAACTGTGGTCACTAATGTAGAGGTGTCTGGGTGAGGCTTCAAGATGGAAGTCGTTTCTGGTTCAGGATTGAGAGGCCGTGCTCTAGCAAAATACTAGTTCAGCCTGGATTTGAACCCACGACTTCTCATCACAGCTCCCTTCCAGGAGTGACAAAGCCTCACACTTGGTCATTTCGGGTACTCACACTTTTTTATTCTTTGCAGTGAAACGGGGCAACGTGTGTGTGTGTCGAGGGCCTCCCAACACGGTGTGCGTTACCCCTGAACTGGGATGAGTCCCCCACAGAGGTCTGCTCACATCCAAACTCCAGGCCCAGGCATGTGAGCTCTTGCTTTTGCTACACTACGTTGTTGCAGACCCTGTGGAAATGGGCCAGCTGGGTCTCCTCCTAACAGTGTGGACATTTTCACTGGTACCTGGTTCTGGATACAGTGACCCGTGAACTCCGAATAGCCAGAATACCAGAACCACAGTTTGGAACCGTTTTTTTCCCACGATTCCCATCACCTACTGCAGAGATCTTGCGCGTTCTAGGTGGGGGCGCTCAGGCGTGGTCTTTGTAACAAGCGCACACGTTTGTCTAACACTCCCCCTCCCCGAAGCCGTAGGTTCTGAGTCTGGGCAGATTTAAGCCAGTCTCAACAGTCAGTGGATCAGACCAAACGAGAGCCGCAAGTCAGAGCTTCAGACCTCCTTAAACAGAAAATTCGTGTATTCAGTGTACTGTACTTGGAAAGGCAAGACGTGGGCTGTTTTGTTTTTTTTTTTAACCACTTCATTTTAGAAAGCTCTCCCTAAGTAAGGTTTCTCAGTCCACCAGTCTGTGGAACAGCCAGGAATATTCTAATATTCCTCTGCAGTCAGTGCCAACCAATATTCTACTTAAGCCGCGACAATTTCATTCTGTAAATGACTCACAGACTCAACAGGAACACGGAGAATTCCAGGGGCCGAAGTCTTAAGAACCTGAAACGGGTGATGCAGCAACAGAGATCCCAAGTCACGTGACCACGGAATGTGTAGACCTGGTTTCTTCGAGGCGAGTTCGCATTTGTGAAACTCAGACTGTGCTGACTTTGCAGTCAGAGAGTGACACTAAAGGCAGCGAGCACTGGGGAGTTTTAAGAGCGGAGAGAACGCTGACAAAGCCTGATGGGAGGGGGACTGATTGCTTCCCCCGCCCCCCACCCCCACCAGCGCCCGAGTGGGGGGAGCAGCAGCGGTTACCTGGGCCTCGGGGACCGGCTACGGCTGCGCAGTGGCGCGCTCTCACGGCAGGCGGTTCGCCCCACAGGGGAAGCGGCTCCTCTGTCCCCGGAGTCCTCAGGGCCGAGTTCTGGCGATCTGCGTACGGACCAGGGAGGGGCGGCGGTGGCGGTGGTGGTGGTGGCGGTGGTGGCGGTGGCGGCGACAGTTCCTCACTGGATTTGGAGCGTGTTTGGTCACCAGCTGGAACAGAGCTCTGGTCGGTATTTCCAGAACAGTCCCGATCCTCACGGGTTTTCGCATCGCTGCCGTCAGGTGTCTCCCCTGGGGACGCAGCCGTCTGCGCGGCGAGCCCAGCTGGCAGGTGCAGGGCCGCAGCCCCCGAGCAGGGCGATGTCGCTGCAGACCCGCCCGGGCGCCTCTGGGGAGGAAACACGGGGTCAGAAAGCGGCCGCAGACTCGAACCATCCGAAGGGTGACGCTTGGTGCAAATGCTCTCGTTCACAGAGTGGCTCCTCATCACCCTGGATGGCCAGCCTGCCTACGAAGGCCGTTCTTACGGAGGCAGCATCCACATCCCTTGATAGATACCGCTTGCTCTGTGACAAAGACAGGCCAGTGTACATGCAGATGAAAACACTCCTAGTGTTAGTATGAACAATAAAACTCGAAAGAGCAACAACAGGAAGTTAACTTCAGAAAACTATGGTGAACTTATTTAAAATAGTAGGCAGCAACGAAAAACCGTAAATAGTACAAAGTCGTGAAGCATCCTAAAAGAATACAGATGACGCGGTGTTAAATTCACAACCACGTAAAACAGCTGTCTGAAAAACTCCTCTGGAGTGGACCTCAAAGTGGTGGTTATCACATGTTTCTTTTCTCCAAGTTTTAGGTTCACAGTAAACCTTATAATTTAAAAATGTGAACTTAAAATGTTCCGGTCTCAGGGCACCTGGGTGGCTCAGTCGGTTAAGCAGGGGACTTTTGATTTTGGCTCAGGTCATGATCTCATGGTTCATGAGTTCGAGCCCCGCATCAGGCTCTGCACTGATAGCACAGACCCTGCTTGGGATTCTCTCTCCCTCTCTGCCCCTCCCCTGCTCATGCTCTCTCTCTCTCTCAAAAATAAAACAAAACATAAACATTAAAAAAAAGAAGAAGAAAAAGAAAACATTCTGGTCTCTCAAGTATTAGTTTGATAAGTAAAAACATAACCTTAGGGGTGCCTGGGCGGCTCAGTCGGTTAAGTATCCCAACTTCAGCTCAGGTCGTGATCTGGTGGTTCGTGGGTTCAAGCCCTGTATCAGGATCTGTGCTGTCAGGACAGAGCCCACATTGGATCCTCTGTCTCCCCTGCTTTCTGACCCTCCCCAACTCGCCCTCTCTCAAAAATAAACATTAAAAAAAATGTTAAAAAAGAAAAACATAATCTTTTTTTTTTTTTTAATTTTTTTTTTCAACATTTATTTATTTTTGGGACAGAGAGAGACAGAGCATGAACGGGGGAGGGGCAGAGAGAGAGGGAGACACAGAATCGGAAACAGGCTCCAGGCTCTGAGCCATCAGCCCAGAGCCCGACGCGGGGCTCAAACTCACGGACCGCGAGATCGTGACCTGGTTGAAGTCGGACGCCTAACCGACTGTGCCACCCAGGCGCCCCGAAAAACATAATCTTATAAACGAATCCTGAGTGGTGGGAAGGTGGTCCCTAATGTAGGCACTGACTAGCCAATAAAACACATAAAATGTTAATACTATGTAGCCATTAAAATGAACTAGATCTACCTATCTATCTGTAAATGAGAACACATCTCCATGTAATTTAAGTGAAAAAAGAAACTGGCAGAGCATGTATACAATGGGATAATACTAATGTAAATTTAGTAGTAATACACCAAAAGGGCAATTCATGATAGAGTACAAGCATACCTCACCATATTGCCCTTCATTTTGCTTTGCAAAAATTGCATTTTTTTTTTTTTAATCAATTGTGGGCTCATGGCAACCCTGAGTCGAACAAGCCTGTCAGTGCTATTTTTCCAGTAGCATTTGCTCAGTTGGGGTCTCTGTGTCACATTTTGGCAATTCTTGCACTATTTCAAAGTTTTTCATCGTTACGGTGATGGTCTGTGATCAGTGATCTTTGCTGTTACTATTACAGTTGTTTCTGGGGCGCCCAAACTGTGCCTGTATAAGGCAGTAAACTTCACTGTTGTCTTATTCTAAGAAATGGCCACAGCCTCCGCCTTCTGCAGCCACTGCCCTGATCAGTCAGCAGCCACCGACATCGAGGCAAGACCCTCCACTGGCAGAGATGTTACAACTTGCCAAAAGCTCGCCGGGTGGCATTTTTTAGCAACAAAGTATTTTTAAACTAAGGTATGTGCTTTTTTGTAGACCTAATGCTATTACTGCACACTTAATACACTGTAGTATAAACACAGTTTTATATGCACGGAGAAACCATTCATTCAACTCGCTTCATTGTGGTGGTCTGGGACAGAACCGGCACAGTCTCCAAGGTGTGCCTGCATTTGCCGCTCGTCCACATTTTTCTTTTTTATTAAAAAAAGATTTTTAATGTTGATCTGTTTTTGAGAGAGACAGAGCATGAGAAAGAGAGGGAGACACAGAATCCTAAAACGGGCTCCAGGCTCTGAGCTGCCAGCACAGAGCCTGATGTGGGGCTCGAACTCGTGAATCACGAGATCATGACCTGAGCCGAAGTCGGACGATCGACAGTTGAGACACCCAGGCATCCCTCTCCTCCACATTCTTCTAAGTCTTTCCACGACAGAAGAGCGATGGCAATAAGCCCCAAACCTCACGGATGCGGCTGCTGGTCATGCAGCCACCATACTGTGCCTTTCCGTCATCATATGCCGGGAGAATCAGGATCCTGGAAACCCCGGGCCAGACTCGGGAGGTCATCCAGCCATCCCCAAACCCCAGGGACCCCTCCTCGGCATCCGGGCACCCTGGCCTGTCGAGTTCTGCCTCATGGTGCTGGGCAGTCTGTGTCCCCAGGGCTCACTCAAGACACACTAAATCCTTTACCTCCTAACGGCCCAACCTGTCTGGGCTCAACAAGTGTCACATATCAAGTGATTCACTTCCCGTCTTCTCCCTCTCCTACTTTCCCCCTTCCAAATGTGCTCAGATTGGCTTTGTCCCTTTGAGGGTGGCACTTCTTGGTAAACAGACTCCCCTCATTCTACAGAGGACTCATCTGTTCGTACATCTTAAAAAGTCCCAGGCCTTGTTTCCGATTCTGTGTCTCCCTCTCTCTCTGCCCCTCCCCCGTTCATGCTCTGTCTCTCTCTGTCCCAAAAATAAATAAAAAACGTTGAAAAAAAAAAAATTAAAAAAAAAAAAAGTCCCAGGCTTTTCTCGAACTTCTTCACAAGTGACTGCTAGGAGGCTGGAAGAAACTCCATTCTCGAGGTTCTTTCCCCTACGTTTAAAGCCCACACACTCCATCCTGCCACCCTCTGGAGAAATCCACACCTCCAAAGGCCAAAAAACCCTCAGCTTGCGCACCTCGGAGACAGGTTCCGTTCCAGACCACCACCAGTGTGAGGTCAATGTGTTGGATTTTTTAATTCATCCTTCTAGTCTATTGAAAGCACAGGTGGCCTGATTCTGTTCCTTCCTTCGGTCTATCCCTCCCACCTCCAGATTTGAAAATTTGATCCTGATCGGATGCTCCGGGGCTAAAGAGCCGAACTTGCACCCCCGGATCCGTCCTCCATCCAGGCTCCATTAACCAGTGCCCTCGGGCGAGAGCTGACCAACCAGCTGTCCTGCGCCCATTCGCCCTACCTTCACCTGGTTTCACACAGCATCCCTCCGGCTCACCCTCCCTCCTTCTGGAGGTGGGGTCTAGGCATCAGCAATTCTGATGTGCTGCCCAGGCAGGAGAAGGCCTCTGCGGCTCCAGAGTTAGGAGACAGGCGGCCGCACACAGTCCCGAGCGACGCTGTGCCATCACGCGGGCCGCAGGGTTAAGAATTAAATGAGAAAGAACGGGAAATGTCTGGCACCGGGCTGGTATGCAGTTAGGCGCTGGTTAATGAGCACATCAGAAAACAAGTTGAGGTCAGCGTGTCATGATTTATCACTCCAGGGGCCCCATTCCTTGGTAGCACAGCACACCTTCAAGACCTTATCCCGGAGTCCTGTCTGGGAGTGGGACGTTTTCCCTTGTGGGGCAGCTACGAACGTGGATCTGTGTGATGCAAACAGATTTATGTTTTATATTCAGCTAGTTTAACGTTATTTTTAAATGAGTAGCTACTTGTTTTTAAACTTATACACTTTTAACAGAGTACCTAACTATACCAGGTCACAGGGATTCCTTGGCTGCATTTCATTTAATTTTTGTTAATGTTTATTTTTGAGAGAGTACACACAGGGGAGGGGCAGAGGGAGAGGGACAGAGGATCCGAAGCGGGTTTTGCACTGACAGCAGTGAGCCTGACGTGGGGCTTAAGTTCACAAACCGCAAAATCGTGAGCAAAGTCGGGCGCTTAACCGACTGAGCCACCAGGTGCCCCTCCTTGACTGCGTTTTACAGAATGTTAATAAAGTCAGGAAAAAGCAAGCGAAGGTTGAGGGCAATGTAACTGTTTTCAGTTTTTCTGGCTGGTCAACAGCATGGTGGGCCGAGTCAGCCTGACCACTGGGTCAGGAGGAGAGAGCAAGAACCCTGGTGTCTTGCAATGTCAAAAATGTTAACATTTTAATATTCTTGTTTTTTACTTCTATACTAAAAATGATGGCATTTGAGAAACATTTTGTGTTCCAAATTATCGGTTCATAATACTTTATACTTTTCTCCTAGGATGGGCGGTCTTCATTTCTCCAGAAAATGGAGGTGAGGGGTAATTATTTGTAAAACTACACCTTTATTTATTTTTTAATGTTTATTTTTGAGAGAGACAGAGAGAGAGAGACAAAGCTGAGCAGGGGAGGGGCAGAGAGAGGAAGACAAGAACCCGAAGCAGGATCCAGGCTCCGCATTGTCAGCATGGAGCCCGACGCGGGGCTCGAACTCATGAACTACAAGATCACGACCTGAGCCAAAGTCAGACGCTCAACTGACTGGGCCACCCAGGCGCCCCTAGAACTTACCTCTTTAAATGCTCTCAATCGTTGGAGTGTCTTCTTGCGTTCCTGGTTTATCCATTCTTTTTTCTTTTGCTCCTCTTCTCTTATCTTGTCTCTTTTCTACATTTAAGCAAACGTGTATTTGTAAATTTCTCAAACTAAAAGTGTTGAGAAAGACAGGGTGTGTGATGCAACGTTACCCCCTCCCCGGGTCTCACCCCCATGTCCCCTCCCCAGGCTGCAGGACTGGACTGCAGTCTCCCCAGGATCAAGGCTGGCACCTGCCAGCCCCGGGGCAGTGGAGCCCCAGTTTCTAGAGATCTAAGCCAGTGTGTCACATTATGCAGATATAAACCATGTTCTCTACAGCCACTTACCATCTGGATACTGTGATGCTGATGAAAGTGTTTCATACTTTCTGCAGCCAGTTGTAGTCGGAGCCGATGATTCTCTTTGCACTGATCCTGGGAGAATAATACAAGTCACGTACACGGTTTTTAATATTACTGTGGGCTCTAGCAAAGAAGTTTAAAAGAAGGCACTGTATTTGTGCTGTCACGTAAGGCGTTTGTTAATACGAGTTTCTGTGGTTCCAGGATCCTGCCTCCGCTAGCCTTGTGATATGTGCTGACGGGCGCCTTACAGGAGTCCACGGTACCCACTCATAGGACCACAGCTGTGATTCAGCGCCACGAAAGATGAAAAAGCAAATCCTCCAAGTGGAAATGAGAGGACACACAGGCAGTCCCCCGTTCTTAAATGGCACGTGTCCTAAGAATCTGTTTCAATGTGATTATTTTAAACTCAGCTCCTCATATTACAATAGTATTTCCAGTCATAACTACGTGACCATATGCAACCTACAAACACCTGAAAAATTCTACTAAAAACTGTATTTTAACTAAACTTAACCATACTTAAGGTGTGTTACCTTTTTTTTCCTTTTTTTTTAATTTTAGAGAAAGTGTGAGCAGGAGAGGGACAAAGAGGAAGAATCTGAAGCAGGTTCCATCTCAGCACAGAGCCCGACTCAGGGCTCCATCCCACAACCCTGGGATCATGACCTGAGCTGAAATCAAGATCGGACACTCAACCAACTGAGCCACTCAGGTGCACCCTTTATGTATTAATGAAGTTTTTGGTGGTTTTTGTTTTCGTTTTTTTAAGTTTTATTTTTGTTTCTTTTGAGAGAGCGAGCACCGGGGAGGGACAGAGACAGAGAATCCCAAACAGACTCAACACCATCAGTGCAGAGCCTGATGCGGGGCCCAAACCTCCAAACGGTGAGATCATGACCTGAGCCGAAATCAAGAGTCGGATGCTTAACCGACTGAGCCACCCAGGCACCCCATATCACAGGGTTTTTAAAAATTAAGAAAAAAAAAAAAAAAGCCACTCACCAAATACAAGGATTGAAATGAGCTGAATATTATTTCTAATATTCTACAATCAACGTTTACAATAAATTTTAGAAACAAATTTTAGAATTTACTCCAGCTGATTATGAGAAGCTTCTACCTATTGTGATTTTAAAAATACCTGTGTATGTAACAGGTATTCAACAAACAACTGTTGAACAGATTGATCAAAATCTAGAGATTATGGTAAATGCTTAAATCCCAAAAGACACAGAATCCTTTTCAAAAGGATTATACTTTTAAAAAGTATACTTTTAAAAAGTATACTTTTAATAAGTACTTTATTATACTTTTCAAAAATATATATGTATATTTTCTTTAATTGCAGCCATTGGTATCTATATAAACACGCAAGAAATGAATCACTGTGTGGTCGAGAGCCTTATCTTGAGTGGAGGAATCCTTGAGTGGGGAGAGGAGAGCCGCTGGGCTGCCCACCCGTCTGTTCCTGAGACAGGCCCTCCGGGCACAGATCCTGCCCCGCTTGCGCTCCAGGCGCTGGTGCTGCCGCCTCAGCTCTGCCGCCTCCAGGTCCTCGTCGCCAGGCAGCCCCGCCGCACAAGCCACGGCCTCAAGTTCCTCTGCACTCTCACATGGGTCGTAATAGACAACTTCCCCCTCTTTATCTAGAAACACAGTGGTGACATTTAAAACGTGTTTGGTATAAAAAATAACACACGAAGATACCTTCAGTGTAAGGGAAGTACGGGAGACTTGTAACCCCGCCGCCACCCAGGGAGAGCTGCTGTTAGCACCCGTGTGGGGAGGCGGGGGAGTGTAGAGACACACACACACACACACACACACACACACACACACACACCAGTAACAGTGCTAAGAGGACATTTTCCATGTGATGGAAAGAGAACTTCAATGGCAACACAGTATTCTCTCATTGAAGCACTCTGTATCGTTAGAAATATTCCAAGTTCCATTATTATCAAATTCACCGTGATGAACATCTGAACATAAAGTCTTTGTGTACATTTTTATTACTTCCTTAGAGATGAATAGTCAAGGCTCTTGGCAGCTAGCACTCGATCGCCCTCCAGAAAGGAAACCCACATTCTGCCAGCAGTGTCTCATTAAGGGGCCTTAAAGACATTTAATCGTGATTACGTACGTATCTTTTAAAAATACACGCTAATTGTGACAAATCCTAGCTCTGCAGAACTAAATAAAATAGAAAGTGAAATTTTCTTCTTCCTTTCCCAAACCTTTGGGAGCCCATTCCCAGAGGAAAACATTGTGAACAATTTGGCATGCATCTTTCTGGATTAACTCTTTCGGTAGGATTTTTTCCTAAATATGTAAAATGCTTATAACCTGAAATTACTGCAAAGTTTTTTGAATACTCAGGATTCAATTAAATGTTCAGATTTGGCATGGCTTAACCCAGTGAGCCACCCAGGAGCCCCAAAGAGATTTTTCTTTTTTTTTTTACTCACAAACATACTAAAAGAAAACCTAAGTAAAATATTGATATAATTTGGGGATGAGGAGCATTTTGCCAAGCATAACAACAAACACGGGAAGACTTCACCAAAAGTGGATAGGACTTCATAAAAATTAAGTATTTCTGCAAGGCAAGAGAAAGCAAATGACAAGGAGAAGTTTGTGGCAACATTTGACAGATACTAGAGTAATAGCCTTAGTATGGAAAGGGAACATTCCAAGAAAAATGGGCAAAGACCAAGGATAGGCAGTTAACGAAAGAAATACAGACAGCCAGTACACATACAAAAATGTGCCTACTATACTTTTTTTTTTTTAATTTATTATTAAGAGACAGAGTCAGAGCATGAGCAGGGGGGAGGCAGACAGGAGGGAAGACACAGAATCCGAAGCAGGCTCCAGGCTCTGAGCTGTCAGCACAGAGCCTGACATGGGGCTCAAACTCACAAACCGTGAGATCATGGCCGGAGCCTAAGTCGGAAGCTTAACTGGCTGAGCCACAGGCGCCCCATGCCTGCTACACTTACAATTAAAGAAATGAAAACTACAAGACGCCGTTTTCTTCTATCAGGGAGGCAAGAATTGAAAAGAATGCTGTTAAGTATGGGGAAACAGGTGCTTTCATAATCTGCTGCGGGGAGCGTCTTTCTGCACAACCTCAACCTACAAGGCCATTGTATAGTATGGAATTTAGAAGTCAGAAAATAATAGAGGCCAGGAAAAAATGTATACTGAAGGACTATTATAGTGTAAGCAGGTACGTGTCAAGATGTGAAATTTGCACTGTCCTTGACCCAGCAATTCCATCTTTGGAAATTTATTCCAAAGAAACACTCTCTCTTACATGCAAAGACGTGTAGAAGAAGGCTCCCCACTACACTACCGTTTGCAAGAGTGAAAAACGAAATCACGGTACGTACACATAATGAATGCTGTGCAGTCATTAAAATTTTTCATGTTTTTCTTACTCAAATGGAAAGATGGTTTTTAGGTATTAAATGAAAAGAGGCTACTCTACAGGGTATATACTTTTGGTTTAGAAATTGATATTTACTTATACACATCAGCATATAACCAAGGCTATGTCAGGATCTATAGATGATGGAACTGGGGTGATAACAGTTTCCTTTGTTTTGCTGTGTGTTTAATGATGAATTTATCATCTGAAAAACAAAAATGCTAAAAGGAAACTTCAGGAAATTTCAGTAGATGTTTTAGACAACTTATAAGAAGTGGTAACACAGTCTTGGTATTTTCTTGAAGGCGTGATTTAAACATTTTAACATACCCATTTAAGTATAAATCTTACCTCTTATAAGCCTTTTAATTGAGTCCAACTGTGTAATAAGCAGTATTTCTTCATATTTTAATATCTCGAATTTAACCTCATACAGTTCTAACTGGACCTCATAATATTGTATTTCTAATTCATCGACAACGTCCGTATTTTTTTCTTGTTCTGGAAGATCTTCCATCTGGTTTTCATGGAAAAAGTAAGAGCAGGTTAAAATAACTAGTACATTAAAAGCAAACATTAGATGCATTTGAGCAATATTCTATTCTTTGCTTAATACCAAATATAAAACTAACAGAGAGGAAACCTTTTTCCATTTCATTTAATAAAACAAAAATGCCTTATTGATGTTTGTTACAAATATTTTAACTTACCCTTGAAACATATGAAAATATTTAGGCTTTTGAGAAAAGTAAATGACCGTGAGGCATTTGCAGCGTTTCCTGCTTCACACTCCTACCATTAGAGGAAGAAATTTAAGTGGCTATGATCCTGGGATAAAGTACCTTTTTATTACCCTCAAGTCATCCTGAAACACTGCTTGATTGATTTAAGTATCTCATCTGCTTCAGGGCTGAGCTCAGTGTTATTATCAGCAGCACCCTACAATATATTTCAAAAACATCTTGACCGAAAGGAAGTTTCCTGCCAACCTCCCGCAGTCTACATTCACAGCCAGTAGAAGATGTGCAGTGAGTGCAGCAAGGAAGCTCTAACCGTGTTTGGAAAGAAAGGCACTACCTAAAAATGTTTTTCTGTTACTTTAGATTTTTTTAAGTTTATTTATTTTTGAGAGAGACCGAGCAAAGGAGCGAGGGGCAGAAAGAGAGAGAAAGAGAGAATCCCAAGCAGGCTCTGCCCTGTCAACAGAGGGCCTGACGTGGGGATTGAACCCACAAACTGCTAGATCATGACCTGAGCCGAAACCCAGAGTCAGACCGACTGAGCCACCCAGGCGCCCCTAAAAGTATGTTTTTTTAAACCAAGTTTCATTTATCTTTGTCTTACCTTTCCCTGAATTTCAGCTCTTTTGTGATTTAAACACAACTCCTTGGCCCTCATGAGCTGAAGGGTCTCTTGGGCCAACCTCAATTTGAGTTTTTCTAACCTGGGAGCTGCCGTGGCCCAGGCAGCTTGGCCAAACCTCTTCTCATCCTGTTCCATTTGTTTCTGCATTCCTGTCGGATTGGAATTAATAAAATAAAACATAATTACAACTCACCAAAAGGAAGAAAAATGTATCCCGAGCTAATTCTTTGTTTACTGCCTCCCACGTCACTTACAAAACATCCTTTTTAAAAGAAAATTTGTTTTATTTTAATGACCTTTTATTGTCAGAAAAATAAAACATACATAAAAATTTTAGATACTTCACTTTAAAAAAAGAGAAAAATAATAAATCCTGAATCTCACCTAGTAGAGGTGATTATTTCTTACATTTTGGTGCATATACTTCCAGACTGTTTCTATGTCTGTCCGGCTAGACAGGCAGTTTGAACCAAAACCAAAAAATAAAAACACCCCACAAGATCATCATTCCTTTTTGTATTTTATTTATTTCACTTGATAGATAGTGGAAGTGTCACCATTCACAAAAAACAGATCTAGAGAAGCATGCTTAATAGCTACATGGCATTTCACTTTACGGATGTAACTTAAACTGGGAGACACTCGGTGTCCTGTCTGGAGCCATCATCAACGACTTACAGATGAGACAGAAGTCCTTGTCCCCCACCCCCATCCCTGCCGTCTGCCGCATTCTTTTCCCACCATGTTCCCCCGCTCCTCTCTGCTCCAGCCCCGAGACTCGACGTTCCTCACACTTGCCAAGCTCCCTCCAGCCAGAGCACCTCTGTGTGCCCTTTCCTCCTCCTGGAACGCTCTTCCCTCACTATGATGCTCTCTCCACTCCCACTGACCCTCCAGATATCAGGGCAAGGATTATTTCCCAGAGGCCTTCACTGACCTAGTGAAGGAGCCTCGTTCCTCTCGGTGGCTCTCAGAGCCCCGTGCTTCTCTCCTTCGTGTGGCCAGTTGTTAACTGCCATTCTCCATGTGTTTGAATGAATATATAAATAGGATTTCTCTGCCCTCACCAGACTGGGCAGTGTCTGTTTATACTTCTCCTTACACCGAATCCCCAGCTCCCAGAAAATACAGCGCCTGGTGTTCAAGAGGCACTCAAATGGCTTTTGAACAAAATGAAAATGACACACATCTTAGAATTTTAAACTGTTACCTGCTAACGCTTTTACGGTTTCTTTGAAATAATTCACGGTGATGTCCTGAATAGAGACGACAGCTCCTTCAGCCCTTCTGCTCCATTCTTTGGCTTCCGTCTGCAAGGCCACTATCCTCTTAGGACCCAGATCATCCTCATTCAAGGATTTCTACAAAAGAAGGGAAAACTGTATCAGTAAGAGAAAATAGTAATGTAGAGCCGTAGGAAATTGAAAGGAAATTGGACACATGGATGATTTCAGCTACTTTTATTACCACTACTTAGTTGATTACATTTCATTCATTCAGCAATTCCTTGCTGAGTATGAATAAGGCTCTAAGCTAGGAACCACCTGGAAGACAAAAGGATACTCGGGCATAAAGAAAAAGAAAAACCTACTTTCAATGTGCATTACTAGAATAGCATTTTCTGGAGAGGCATGCTATCAAGTTATGTTTCTCTAACACACAATTGTTTAGGGGCGTGTGGCTGGCTCAGTCAGTGGAGCATGCAACTCTTGATCACGGGGTCATGAGTTCAAGCCCCACGCTGGGCGTACAGATTAGTTTAAAAAATAAAATAAATGTGGGGCACCTGGGTGGCTCAGTTGGTTAAGCATCTGACTTTGGCTCAGGTCATGATCTTGCAATCTGTGGGTTCGAGGCCCACGTCAGGCTCTGTGCTGACAGCTCAGAGCCTGGAGCCTGCTTTGGATTCTGTGTCTCTGTCTCTGCCCCTCCCACAGTAGCACTCTGTCTTTGTCTCTCTCTCTCTCTCTCTCCCAAGAGTAAATAAACACTAATAAATAAATAAATACCACCTTGATATAGCCCCACTATCATCTAAACAGAAGGGTGAACCCAAAGTACAAACACAGACTGAAATCTCAAATGTGATGAAAGAAACAACATGTGACAAATAGTGAATCTGATAATATAAAAATATGAAGAAAACATACCAAAATGTCAAGCTTACATAAGGTTGCAACTTCTCTCATATCCCTAAACGGCTGCAGCAAATACTGGAAGAACATGGTTGCCACCGTAACTAATTCCTGGTAAGCTTCATCTTCCTCTCGATAGACTTTCATTAATGCCACCATGGTGTGGGCTTTATCATGCTCCTGAAGAACCTAGAAGACAAAATGTAAATAAAGCTCAGTATGGACAGTATTTATAAGCTCATAACAAAACTAAAGAAACCTTAATGTCCTAAAGTTTAACTTTTTTTTAAAGTTTATTTATTTATTTTTGAGAGAGACTGAGACCACACCAGTGGGGGAGGGTCAGAGAGAGAGAGAGAATCCCAAGCAGGCTCTGTGCTGCCAGCGCAGAGCCCAACTCAGGTCTTGAACTCACGAAACCATGAGATCATGACCTGAGCCAAAACCAAGAGTCAGAAGCTCAACCTACTGAGCCATCCAGGCGTCCCAATGTCCTAAACTTTAAAAATTTAAATACCGATTAAATATTAAAAAGCTATTGTCCTCCAACCAAAATGCCCAATAAAACAAGAATGGCTAAATTAAGCCATGGTATATCCACGGTAGAGTATCATTACTGTAATCATTCAGTAGTCGACACCACTAACAAACTCCTTTTATACAACATTTTAATTGTAAAAGTTCATTCTATATGTAGCTTGAGAAGATGTAATTAAAGTTTTGAAATGGGACTGAATTCTCCTCTCACACCCCTCTTCTGCAAAAGAATGCACAGAGGGGCCGCTCAGTCGGTTAAACTAACCTTAGGCTCTTGATTTTGCTCAGGTCACATCCTCACTTTTCCTGGGTTTTAG